ATTACAACTTGTTATTTCCATTCTTAATCTAAACGGTGATCTAAAAATTTAAAAGATCGCTAAACAACCAAAATTAACATTAATCAATGTTTAAAGCATCAATAGTCAGTCTTCATTTAATCATTTACCTTTCAATAGTATGTATCAGGGCTCTTCTCCTTGTTTTGCAGTATACAGAAGGAAAATCTTCACATGCAGCCAAATTAGATGCATCATGAAAAAGATGTATATTGACTAGATCAACGGCAGTGCCATTAATTTCCCATCGGGTTCGCATAAATCCTTTCCGAGACCATTTACACTAGGGTAAAGTATAAAATAAGTTTTTATTACTAACTAAACTTTTTATTCGCACTACGAGAACTAGCATTGCTTAAAATATACAAACTTTTCTTTGTCATGTTATAAAGTATGATAATAAACCAAAACCCTGAATTCGAGGTGTGTCCAAAGAGGAAATCTAACTGCTTTTTAACGTAACTGCACAAAACTCAAAGTTTCTTTGCTGCTTGGCAAACTTAATATAACAGCTGCTAAGAAATTTGCACCTAATTAAAGATAACGAACGTTGAATGAGGGTCCGAACACTTTCAAGATCTATTAAGAAAACGATCTAAAACTCCTATATTTTTATCCCAATTACTACGCAATTAACTTAGTACGATTTACTTTCATGAGAATAATTAGTAATTTAAAATAACTAAGCCGCAGTGTGAAACTCAGTGTCATTTATTTCGATATAGTAAATCAAAGAGTAAATATATATATATAAATAATATATAGTTTATTTTGACAAAGTTAATCAACCAAGCCAAGCATTTCTTTTTTATAAAAATATAAAATTTGTATGTTCTTTTATTTATAATTTTACAAACATCTTTACGGGAGGCAAATGTTATATAAGTTCTGCCAATACTGACTAGTGCAACAATCCATTTACTGTTGACGACCTTAGCCAATTGATATATGGGGAAAGTGCATATTCTTTGTCTGCAATATGCCACTACATCTTAACCAATACCCATTATTTCGGGATCAATATTTATTGGAGTGGCTGCTTTTGACTCGATTTTCAGAGGAAGTCATCAGAATTATATTGTGACCTAAAGACTAATAATGGATTTTAATTACATATATAAGCAGACAGAAAATGTGTTTTTTATAAAAAATAAAAAACAGTTTTTATCTATTCTGTGGACATAAATTTGTTGAAATGGTGGCAATTTAAAATTTGTATAAAAAATCGTTATTTCGTGCTACAAAACGTTTTGTTTTAATCACTCTCGTGATTGCAAATGTTGTCTAGAGGATTGCAAGCCTTTAAATTTGTCTGACTTTAAAAAAGACTTAGATTCTTTGAAAACTTTTTTTTGTTAAAGAATACTTACTTCGGGAAAAAAATGCTGAGGGAACTTTGCCTTCTCCTTAGTCGGAACGTTTTCAATATTACCAGAATATATTTGTTTGCCTTTGTCCAGTTTATCATCCCAGTCGTGAGTAAGAAAATTCCAAATTCTTAAAATACATATATCCTTGTGACCGAAGTAAATGTTTCCAAGTGCCTTTCAAAAAACGAACAAAACTAAATATATATTTCCTGACATCAGTTTAGTTACTTACAGTAAAATGTTCCGCAGACTTAAAATCCTCATCCATATATATATGAACGTAGATAAAGTCAGTCTTCGCCATTGCGTCGCATAAACATCGGATAAATTCCTGTACATTACCCATCGAATTCTCGTATGTCTTTCCACCCACCTCTTGAAGATGTAAAGCTAAAAATCTGGGATTAACTCTTGTTACATTGCTAATAAACTCTTCTAGCCATATTGGAAGTAGTCTTTGTGGCTACGCAGCGTTGTAGAGTTCATGAAATAATTTACATAGAAACTTTTTTAATACAGAGATACATAAGTAAATACATATGTACGTGCTTAAGAAAACAAATATGCACACATGTAAATACCCAAATCTATACAAAAAATGTTATGTACGTACATCTTCAAACAAACTTCCGACATTAGCTGTTACTAGCAATAGTTTCGTATCTGATTGTCCTCCTTTTGATTCCATTTTTTCGTATGTTTTCTTATCTTGCGTATCTTATTTTATTAGAGCAGTGTAGGGATGTAAGAAATACACTAGTACATCGATAAATTTAAACTTAAACGTAAATCATCGTAATATGTATCGATTTTGTATCGTAAAATTAAAAGCGTTATCGGACTAGCTGGCCGATCAAAAACATATGCAAATTCCATAATAAGTAGCACCACTAACCATACAATACATAGACATGTCAAACGGCAGAATAATCGAATCACGATAAATCGCAACGAGGAAATTCTAAGGGGGCCTAAGTCCATTTTAGTGTGCCTAGATAGAGTAAGACTGCTGAGTGTGGCTGCCAAACGCCGGCCTTGAAAGCCGAACGTTCAGTTTGAAGCCGCATCTCGCTCAGCGCACAACTTTGCTGCGGCTGATGCTATTTCTTAATATATGTATGTTAGTTTTAAACCCTTACAGCCCAAATACATACATATGTGTGTATGCGTGTGCAGATTGTGCCTCGCTCACACTTATTGCTTTGCGCACTTGTGTGCATCTCCTTCTCATTGCATAGCTTCTCAAAAATCATACATCTTTACAAACATACATATGTTTGCGTTGTGCGGATGTGTGAGATATTTTCGTCAAATGTTTGTGCCTTTGTGCCTGTGGTATCTTGTATTTCTTCGACCAGTCATGCATAATGAGAGTCTGATTTATTTTTATTTAAAAAAAACTTAAATTACCTAAGTGAAATATGTATATTTTATATTCTTTTCTTAAAAAAAAAACTAAGCCGTATTTGTGCAAGGGTTAATCATCTTTGGCTTGCCGAAGAATTCTAAGAAAAAAAGACATATTGAAAATGTTCAATTTTTGCTACTTGTGCACACGCACACTCTTTCGATGAAGCAGTCGTGTGAAAATTTGCAGTGTTAGACACTATTTACTTCAGCGTGCTTATTTGTGCTTGCTGGTGCGCTCCTGTTTAGATTTTTGCTTGTCAAGTACAATTTCAAGCCGTTCGTGGGCAATGCTGGCCGGATCGGATTAATGGTCAACCCTTGAGAGAGCCGAAATAATCACGTCGTCTTCGACGTACTCGGTAATATCTGCAAAATATAATAAGCATATCAACTAAATGATTAAACACTATGATTACACCGTTACTGCAGCATGGCTCTTAAACGATCCCAATATTTAGTCAATTTTTATAAAATGGACTCATGTAGATGAGCCCTTTACTCGGTCCAATTTTTTGTTTTCCTCGTTAGAAATATATTCAATTAATTTATTTTCCACTTCAACGAAAAATCTTAATATTATTTTCAATTTGGATCGGATATCAGTCCATCCCCCAGTAAACCCGGATTGTTTCATCTGATCTGACAAATCCATGCATGTTTAGGAGTTTTTTAGTGCACCTCGCAGTTCTCCAATATTCTCTTGCCATAGGATTAGGAGTTTTTCATTATCGATAGTCCAAATCATACAAATGTTCATTTTGCCTTCTAAAAAACACATACATATATTAAATAAATAGACAAATTGTCTTCATTCCTGCGCGCTCATCAGAGAGCATTGAGATCACTGAGAGTGAGTGCGAGCGAGATAAAAATAAACAGCGATGCCGTTCTATCGCACAAATCATATGAAAGAGAGTCAGCCAAAGCAGTTTCCAGTAGTGTAAGCGATCAAAAGACATCATATGTATATCTTACTCGCTCGTTGGACCTGATGCACCGTTTTTTTTTTGTGCACACTTTGGATACACGGCATGTCCCATCTATATGTTATTTGGTTAGTACACTAAATTTGGTCTCCAAAAAAAATTTGCATCTTGTCCAACGAGCGAGTAAGATACAGATATGATATCTTTTGATCGCTCACACTACAGGAAACTCCTTTGGCTTACTCTCTTCCATATGATTTGTGCGATAGAACGGCATCGCTGTTTTTTTTCTCGCTCCCACTACAGGGAACTGCTTTGGCTTACTCTCTTCCATATGATTTGTGTGATCGCTGTTTATTTTTATCTTGCTCGCACTTACTCTTAGTGCTCTCAATGCTCTCTTTATGTCTAGGTGCCGTTTAAATATTTGTGTGTGTATGTGTCCGCACAAGCAAAAATGCCCACAAATTCAATTTTTCTCAAAAGTCGGTGGCATTTCTTCCATTTTGAGGGGACGAGTAATATGAAATAATGAAAGGGTTTGCCAAGTCGATGCGAAATTTTTTCATTTTAGCTTGTTGTCGGTTTATCTTTGGAGGAGGAACGCCGACCAGCCAGTACTCTCTCATCGCACAACACTACACTAAATCTGCACATCTCTAAACAGCTGAATGCAAAATGTACTAAAAGGCAAGCTGCAAAACAATGCAAAACCAAAGACAATATAAACACTAAGATGAGTAGCGCCCATACATTTGCATGCGACGAAAAATTTCATGACTGGCGTTTCATCTGGCGTTTGAGTTTTCGCACGACATGCCTGCCGACGGCTGTTCGTTCAGACGAACGAATGCCGAAGTTGCGGCTTGCTGATGCGCTGACACGAGCAACGAAGTTAGTCGCCAGCCTGCCTTCAGCAAGCTGGTCGATGGTGCTTTGCGTCTCTTCATTTTCGAAGTACATTGAGCGAAAAGTTATAAGCTTTCGATCGACGCAAAGTATTTCTGCTTTATCCGTGAAATGTATGCTTTCTTTAAATGATACATTACCCTAGATACTAACTATAAATTTTGCAGGAAAATTTTAGAATAAAATAATTTTTTTAGAAGGCGCAACTTGTGCAATAACTACGTGTTACGGAAATGCTTGTTACTCAGTGGGCCGCGCCGGCTGGCTCATCGGTTTCTCTGGGTGTAGTCCCATCCCTGGCCCGCAGTCCGCACAATCGATATCAACAAAACTACAACGTCTGTAGCAAAACCTACCTATACAACACTATTCAAAATAAACCACATAATCGATAACAACAAACAATCGGAACTTCTAACAAATGAACAACACTAACAGCTGTAACAACAAGCAAATGTAAACAACAAAGGTGAGACGCTCAATATAAATTAACAAAGAAACACTATTTATCCACTTTACTCTTACAGATCGGGTCCCGGTTCCGGACTCAGCGTACCCGCCCTACCTGAGACGATTACTTGATCTCGTCTCCCTCATTTTGGCCACTAGATGGCCTGCATCAGCCTGTGTCTGCTGTTATGCCCCCCATCAAGTTAAACTTAGCCGGACATTTCTCTCTTCAATACGTGCGTATAATTGGTTACATCCATATGTTTATTAACAATTAATGTTTCTTATCTCTTTCTAATTTATAAGGTGTTTCCATTCAGTTAACTACGTTATCATGAACGTGAACATTTCTTTACCAGGTGCGTATTATTGTTGCATATACTTGTGATTATGGACAATGTGTATTAATTTCTAAAATTTCAATTTATCTAACAGAATACATTTTATTTACTTTAACAACATTAAATGGAACAGGCGACGAAACACTGCAAAGTTATTCCCATTCGCCGCAAAAAAGAAAACAAGAAGGCAATTATGAAGCAATCGTTGCACCGATTTAAGAACAGTGTACCCAAGCAAACCGGGTATGTCACGATAGTCAGTCGTGCAACAGGTAGGTGATATATATATATATTAAATCGCTTAATTCGACCTTACCCTACCTATAGAGCTCTCTGTGGGTGGTAAGGGGCGATAGAAAGGGGTATTTCAAGTTGGGTATGTATGTGAGTATTGTTCGCGCAAGTACCAAATTTTAAACTTTTATATTTGATAGGCGCATATGCATAACCTTTGAAGTTTTCCCTCACTGCTCGCACTCTAAAGTGAAGCTTGGGTTAAGTGCCTATATATATATATATATATATAATTTACAAACAAAAAAACCTAAATTTAACAACGACAAATATCTGCTCTCTTCCAGGGAGCACAATCAGGAGTGTACGTCTGACTCTGCCAATGACTCGGGCGAGGAGGGGCGAAATGGAACAGACTCACTTGGAGGATGTGGGCGTGGTCTCGCCTGTGGCCGATTTATCGCTGTTGGAGCCCGGTCGTTGGTGGTTCGTCTCGCCGTCCTTAGTGTTGCGCCGAGGCTTGGCTGACGTGCACCGCTGATGTGGCTGACGTGTGCCGCTGAGCCAAGTCCTGGGCTTTGGGTCGAGTTCGTGGGCCTCTCTGGTCCGAGAGTTGGTAATTTCGTTGCCGGAGCCGTGGGTCGTTTTTACCCTATGTCTTAGGGTTTTTATGTGTTCATCACGTGTCGCGCTTAAGTTGCAAGTCTTTCTAATTTTTGTATATGTTGACACAATGTTTAAATTTCGATTTTATTAATAAACGGCGAAAATAATAATTTATTGTTTAATTTTAAATTGTCGAAAGCTTTTCTAGAAAATTTTTATTTTTATGGGGCCGACATAAGAATATAACCTTAAGTTCGCTTCGATCTGGCACACCCACCGTTGACCGCTGATAAAATCGAACTCCCTGCTGCGGCAGCAACATCGGTGACGAATTTCGGCTCACGCATACATTTACGAGGCGGGCACCGTCGCTGCCCATCTGCACAGCTGCATTTTTTTGGGTCAATGGCCCAAATGAAGGCCAAGGATATATTCAAGGTGATCCACTCTCTTTATAGTCTCTATAAGAGCGAATCGGGCAGCCAATAGCAATTGCCCCTTTTGGCGCCGTGGATCGCAAGCCCGGCGTTGTCACCCTTCAATAAATTGGGCTCCGCTGTGGGCCCAGTTTCACCCCCGAAACTCTGAGTCTATGACAAAAAGATATCGGCGTGGTCGATAATAACGCACGCAACCATCTAAGCAAACAATCGATGCTGCCGATAACGTCAAATGCGACATATGTTAAGAAATTATCACACATAGATTTATTTCACTTTGGTTGGCGTGCAAGCACCTATGTTTGTATGTGTGATTATGCATGCATAACTACATACAAATTTGTATTCGTATATGTGTTGTTATTCACTGCCTTGGTTTTGGCTGGTGAGAAAAAAATTTTGTTATGCATGTTGTGTACTGAGGTTTTTAAAGTCGATGTAAATATTTATATAATTTCTTGAAATTAATAGCCTCTGCCCACTGAACACATTTCTGAAAATGTCACATTTTTGCAAAATGTGTAAAATGCGGCCTGTACGTTTCCCCATAAGAAAACACATTTCACACATTTTTAAAAATGTCACATTTTTTAAAAATGTGTAAATTCGCCCCGAACTTTTCGTGTATTTTGCGATGATTAATCGAGATTTCTATCGATGTTGTGAAAAATGTAAACATAAACCAGCTTATATTGCAACGAAGGCAAGCGGTAACTTTAAATTATAATTTTAAATTTTAATAATCCCACAGTTTTTAACATTTAAAATTGGCCAAATCTCGCAGAGTCAATTAAACGGAGCCCCTACTTCGGGGCCGTATTATTTGACTTTTGGAAGGAAATCTGTGCGGCGCTTATGTAAATTAAAGCAACTCGATCAGCTGTTTATTTAACGAAACAGTACTTTTGCCACTCACATGTTACCGAAAACCGGTGGAACACCAATATTTAAAACTTGAAAATGTGACATTTTTAAGACCAGTGGAGAAAGGCTATAACTTATTAATTAAATTATTATTATTTTTAAGAAATAAAATAAATGAAATAAGATCGCAAATTTTGTGTTTCCAAAGATTCATTTTATCAATTTTTTTTTGTTTAAATTATTTTTTACTCCGCCGGTCGAACTAGCTACCGACGTATTTAATTTACCCTATTTATATTTTGTTGCACTCTTTCATTTTTTAATAAAATAAAAATAATAATAAATTAATAAATTAATTAATAATAAATAAATAATAAAATTTGGGTTCAGGGGAGGGCATGGCGCTGTTGAACAGGTTCACAGAGTGATTAACCATATTCGTAAGGCTTACGACGACAAAGACTACTGCTATGGAGTCTTTGTAGACGTTAAGCAGGCCTTCGACCGAGTCTGAATTGATGGATTGCTCCAGAAAATCAAGATGAGTCTTCCCGCCCCTTCTTTCTACTTCTGCGCTCTTATCTAATGGAGCGAAAGTTCGAAGTCAAAGTTAGAGCAGCAATTTATCCAGCTCGCAAAATGAAGGCGGGTGTATTTGTACACGGCAGATATCCCCACTCCGGATGACCTACACGAGTTTGCCACACCAGGCAAATACTTGAAGGCCACATTTGCCGATGACGTGGCAATATTTCACTCCGCCCACTGCGAGTATGAAGCCACTGACGGTGTCCAATTGCTCGAGAGCTGGACACGCAGATGGAACATCAAGCTCAATGCCTCGAAGTGCTTGGCGTTCAACTACACACTGAGGCGTGGCAAGGCTCCAGCAGTCTGGATAGACGGTAGCCAACTCCACCGTGGCAGAAGCGCCAAGTATCTTGGAATTGTACTGGATAAGAGGCACAGTTTACGGGCACACATCGACGGCCTTCTTAAGCAGTGCTGCTATAAGATGGCCAAGGCCAACAGGCTACTAGACCCCAACAGCCCATTGCCACTTCGCTGCAAACGGGCAGTTTACAACGTGGTGGCACCAGCTTGGAGATAAGGTATTCAGGTTTGGGGCATTGCATCTCGGACAAATCGAAGACAGATTCAGACACTCCAAAACTTGGGCTTGCGCCGAATTACCGGTGCTGACTGGTACGTCAGAAATTCTACCTTGCACAGAGAGCTCAAAATGGAGACCATAGACAGCCAAGTCGGAGCATTCGCCAACCGGTACAACGAACGCTTGCAGCGACACTGCAACCGGGTAGCAAGAGACCTCGCTGGGAGGTGTGTAGTCAGGAGGCTCAAGAGAACACCGTTCAAGGACCTCCACCAAACATGAAATAGGAGACGCCCTAGAGTCCCCCGACTACCAACGTGACGATGCAGCCTTATTCAAAAAAGCCGCCTTTGAGGTTTCTCCACGATACAGCCTGAGGACTCAACCAGGCTTGGCGAAATATCACCTAAGCCAACTGTGTTGTAATAAAAATGTATGCTATTTTTGATTCAATACAACAAACAAAAAAAAAAAAAAGGACAAAATAACAAAATCATATATATATTGTTTAGCCTGTAGCTATATACAGGCTAAGCACCTGTAGGTATTTTTGATATCGCTTAGCCTACCTTACCCTGCCTGTTGGTGGTAAGGGGCGATATATACTGGGATATATACGAGGTAGAGGCTAAGATCATAATTATAACTGACAAGTTAGAATTAGAAGGGAATTTAGATAATTCCAGATTGTATACAAACTCTATGAATAACACTGTAAAAAACTTAATAAATAAAAAATTACCAGATTGACTCTTTATGTCACTCGCAAGATACGACATATCCACTATTTCAAAATTAAAACAAGTAGCACAAATGGAGGGCTACTATGAGGAAAATTATTATAACAATAATAAAAAAAAAATACTAACAACGCTATAAATTATACAGGAAATACTAAACCTCAATTTACCCCATATTACATATCTAACAATAATCAAAGCCACAATTTTTCACATCACCCTCCGAACAACCAAACTTATTTGAACCAAAATAAGCGACTAGCTCAAGAATTCAAACAGAATTTACAACAAGCGCAAATAAATAATCAATTGTACAAGCGTATACGAGAAAATACTAGTGGTTCCCAAAAAAAGCAGGTTGATGAAAATTATCAACAATCAGAAAACTATCAGGGTAACTATGTACAAGAAGAGTGTGGTTGTCAGAACAACCAATATGAGGAGTTTCAGAATAATGAAATAAAAGACGAAAATTTTCCAATTGGAGCCTCGGGACAAGCCAGTACATAGAAATTAAAATTAATAACAGACGTTACAGATGTCTCAGTGACAATGGGTCGTCAATAAATATGATGAGGGAAAAC